ATATATCTTGCTGAATATTGTTTGGGCAACAGGTGATCTTCTGAGGTATGAAATGTTAATCACAATGCTGATACAGCTATACCAAATGGATACTGGAGGCCTCTGCTGATTTTCAAACCCCGCAGGGTGGAGAGCCTAAAACTCTTCTCAGTCTGCTTAAAAGGCACTTTAAATTGTTAACCTTGGCTAAGCAGAAGCTTTTCCAGGAAAGCACTAGTCACTGGGATCACTACTGAAGTGGCTGTCCACTTACCCAGTGTGCCAAAACTGGTCTCACCCTGTACCCCTGAGGGCTAAGGCTGTAAGGTGTCTCAGTCCTCTCCTTTAGGCTGCTCAGTCACTAGATTACTCACTCAAGGTCTCTCACCCAGTCCTTGCTCTGCGACCCTAAGGGCAGAGCTTGCTGTGCCAGTTCTCCCACAATGGCTCCAGGTGGCCCACAGCCAAACACTATTAGCTCCATCGGCTCAGCAGCTCAGTCCAGGGCCCTAGACAATGCTTAAAGTCCTCCACACTCTTGCCCAAATTCTCCCAAAGTAGTTCAACTGAGAGCCAAGTCCAAAAAAGCCAAAACAGCTCATAGGTAAGGCCTTTCCAGTTTGTAATCTCACTGCCACTATACTTACAGCTGCTGTTAGACCGATCAAACACAGGCAAACACTTGCCAGTTCCCCACTGCTTTTGTCCTCCTTAGGGGTCCAGGAGTCCCTCTCTGACTCCCTGTGTCTCCATTGCTTTTGTCCTCCCCATGGGGTCCAAAAGTCTCTTGCTGACTCTCCATGTCCCCCAAGGGATGTTTCTGGGTAGATCCCACCAGCCAGAGATGCCTGGAGTCTTCTCTCCCCAGTCTCACTGTGTCCAGTTGCAAGGAAGCTGTTACTTGGCTGTCATCTTGCTCCTAACAAGAAGATTGGTCTAGTGTGGATAATCTGAGGGTAGACTTTATATGATGGTTTATAAGATAATTTAACTAGGTCATCCTATACATGGAGTGTCATCCTGCCCTTGTTTCTGCTTAATGGAGGAGTCTATTGCAACTCAGAATTCAAATAAGGAATTTCCTTTGCTATCAAAAGAAGTTAGATACATTCTTCTTCACTTCAGCTGAGCAGCAGAGAACACAGGTCCATTACTTAGAAACAGCTTGTACAAAGAGCATTCTGAGAGACAACTGGATAGCTTGGGGCCCCACAGACACATAGAGTGCAAAGTCCCTGGGCAGCCCAGGGAGGTGAACAGCCAGGTGCAGTGTGCACTTCATTAGAAATATGGCCAAGAAGAACAGTACTTAAGGGCAACTCTGAGCAGGTTGCATAAGCAGACGATGAGGTTTTTGTAAAAAGCAGTACAGACCCTAGTACGAAAAGGTACCAAGTCAACACACTAGTTCAGAGTACAGCCCATTTTCACAGAAGTCTCACCTGGATAGCCACTTTGTGAGCTGGTCTCAGATTTTCTTTGCATAACACTTGTAAGAGTCATAAACTATTTGAGTCTAAAGACTCTTAAGCTTCTTCTTCCTTTTACCCCACTGTCATACTTTGAAGGAAAAACCTGTCTGCCTGACGAACTCTCATCAGGGCGATGGTGGAGGCTGCGGCAGGATTGGAAGGGCAGCAGGATTGGAGATGCAGTGGGATTTCACACTGATAAGGGAGGAAACCCCTAGTCCGATGCAGAATGCAAGAGAGCTCCCCCTACAGTCCCCCAACAAAAACCAAACTCTGCTGGCCATAGTCAGCTTGGGAATAGGGGCTTAGTGGGGACAGAGTTTAGGGGGAAATTAGAATTAGAGGGTGCAGGAAAACTACTGATGTATATGAGCTGTAAGTAGAAAGACATGACAAAAAGTGAATTCCTCTTTCATTCTTTGAATGGGTCCAGTAAAAATTTAAACTACTTGGCCATTAGTATTAAACATCAGGTTGATATTTCCTTTATGGTGACTTTGTGAGGTTAGAAGGCTGGGACTCACAGGGTTCATATGTAAATTTAGGCTTCCAGTAAAGGTACAGTAAACTGTGTTCATTTCTCATGTGTAACTATTTACTTATTTATTTAGAGTCAGAGTCTCACTCTGTCACCCTGGATAGAGTGCCATGGTGTCAGCCTTGGTCACAGCAACCTCAAACTCCTGGGCTCAAGTCATCCTCCTGCCTCAGCCTCCTGAGTAGCTGGGACTACAGGTGTGCACCACCATGTCCATCTAATTTTTTTATTTTCATTAGAAACCAGGTCTCGATCTTGCTCAGGCTGGTCTCAAACCCCCAAGCTCAAGTAATCTTCCCACTTTGGCTTCCTACAGTGCCAGGATTCTAGGCATGAGCCACCACACCTGGCCTATTTTTTTTTTCACAAAAGCCTTGATTGAGAGAAACATCCTAATATTTTTATAGATAGATAGCTGGATTGGTCAGAGAACACTTAAATATATTATATTTTTAATTCTGATGCTGATAGTGGAGAGATAAACTAGGCACTCTCTTCCAGAAAACTGCTTTGGCAGGGCTATCTCTCGATGGATTCTAGGTAACAAAGATGGCGGTAGGTGCAGCAGAGGGAAGAGGGCATGGAGGCTTAGGGGGCTCCAGACAGCTGGGAGGATGGGACCCTAGGAAAGCCTCATGGGCACATGATGAACATCTGAAACCATGCATGCCTCATCTGCACAGTGGGAGAACTTTGGTTCTTAGTCATTTCTGCACTCTTCACTAGATAATGCAAGCTATGCTTCTCCATGTAAAATAAAAACAGTGAAGGTTGGGGGCTGTGGACTAGGAGGTACCTTACCTACCAAATTATTATCTGTGTTACAATATGACACAGGTTCAGTGTTGACAGATCCTACCACTTCTTCTTAGCTGTGTGACCTTGGTCAAGTTTCCTGATGTGTCTATTCACTTAGATTCCTCAACTACAAAATGCAAAAAATAATACCACTTACCTCACCAAGAGATTAAACACGATGATCTTTATACAACAGTATAATGAATGGTATATAGTTCCTTCTTCTCATGAAGATTATTTCTTACTATCCCTATTAATTGATTAGTTAGTCTTTTTATACTAATGACAAGGACTAGGCTTTTTAAAAAGTATGATTAAGCTTGAAAACGTTCACATTCACTGAAACTTGAAAACTCACCTCTTTTGCGTTGCCTACGTGCACAGATGATTCCTCCATATGAGTACGCTTTCCTAGAAGTCAGTTATCTTTCCTAGTTTCCTACCTACTCCTTTCATCATCCCCATGTCCTAAATCCTTCAGAGTTTGGGCTCCTTGCCTTACACTCCAAAAGGAGGTGGCTGTTGATCACTTCTTTTCCACTGAAGCCCGTGGTTCTATGTGAGACTTGTCCTGGACACATCTTCTTGTGTTGTCACTGTTCATTTGTCTCGTCTGCCTTACTTCATTGTAATTGGCTACAGAGACAAGACAAGCCCTATTTACCTTTAAATACCTATAACATCTATGCCTGGTTAGGTGGTAAGTCTTCAAAAAACATTTTTAAAGTGAATGAATAGGGCTTATCAGATAAATGATTCATAGCATGCAATATTCTTTGTTAAAAAAAAGAATTGTGTTTCAAACTCTAATGGCTATCCATGGCTTAGATGCTCCTGCTGCTTATGGATTAGGTTAAATCAGGCTCCATGGATATTCACCCGCTTTCCAATTTTCATGGCTTGTCTCATGGCCCTTTCTGGCTTCCTGGAGTTGCTGCCTGAGTCAGAGAGGGCTTCCTTGTTGGCTCTGACCTACCTTTAGGCCTACTCCCAGAGCTCTCCCTTTCTTCTTTGTTTATACAAGGAAGCTATTCATCTGGACTTGGGGAGAAAACTATGAGGTATCAGTGGCCTTTTACTATGTTAAGGACACTTTCAAAGTCTTACAGTATCACAGGTGTCCCTGCCAGGAGTATGCCTTGGGAAGCAGAGTGCAGGCCCTCCTACAACACCCAGTCAGACAAATGCACAAATTGCATTTGTGTGTCACTTAGAATCACCACAGGTGGTCTCTATCTACAAATGTAGAGCATTAAGTCCAGAATGATACCAGGACCTTGAGACTTGCCAATTAATTTTAGCCATTCCCTTTAAATTCTGTGTTTCCCCGAAAATAAGACACTGTCTTATATTTATTTTTTCTCAAGAAGACACACTAGGGCTTATTTTCAGAGGATGTCTTATTTGTATAATACAATCTACGTTTATTCAAATACAGCTTCTTCTGGAACCTGACAAGGGGAGCTGACCTTGTTGGTGGGGCTGGTGCTTGTGATGCGTGAACTCCTTTCCCCTAGCCATTCCCACATGTGCAATAGGATGCCTGCGACCAGTTACCACACATGCACCCACACAAGTGTGAACGGCTCAGAGAAAGGAGCTGTGGCAGATAAAAGGTATTCCAGTCTTCCTTATTGCTCCATGCCAAAATGCCAATATTTCTGAGCAAATTCTGTCTCCTGTTCTTTTCTTACACAGATATATGGAAATGTTTGAGAGGGTGCAAACACACATACCTGCTAGTGGGATCCAGAAATCCAGTAACACCAGAGAGTTGAGGCCAGTCAATTTCATCACTAAGAGCTACTGGTAAATTGGAGAAGGAGTTCTAAAGAAAAAATTAAAGTAGTAATTATCAAAATGGTCATCTTTTCCCCTATAGCTAGTAAGAATATCCACTGCCAAAGCATAGACATTCTCTTTCTCTCTATTTAAGGGCTTCTGGCATTTAAGGCAGATGCCTCTTAACTTCAGCCTTTATCAGAGAATTCCCAATGATCAGTGTCACCCGGGAGCTAGCTTCTGTTCAGCTCCCATGAAAAAATCCAACCTGTGGCACCTCATACATTTGAGTGAGGTACTTTAGTACACAATTAAATTTTGTTTTATATTCTCTTGAATTTTTTGAGATTTTCTCCTTTTTCAGTTTAGGTCTTCAGAAAGTCAATTGCTTAAACAGTAAATCACCTGAAAAATAATATGCAAGCCCCCCAGCACAAATTCCTTTCCCTGTGATATAGCTTGGATATTTGGCCCACCAATAGCTCATGCTGAAATCTGATCTCCAAAGTAGGAGGTGGGGCCTAGTGGGAGGTGCCTGGGCCATGGGGAGGAATCCCCATGAAAAGCATGGTACCCAAAATAATGAGTTCCCACTAGAGCTGGTTGTTAAAAAGAGCCTGCCACCTTTCTGTCTCGTTTGTTTCCTGTATGCTCATGTGATCTGCACAGACTGGCTGCCTTCGTCTTCTGCCATGGGCTTCCTGAGGCCCTCACTAGAAGAGCCGCTGGGGCTGTGCACCTTACACAGCCTGTAGAACTGTGAGCCCATTAAACCTCTTTCCTTTATAAAGTACCCAGCCTCAGGTAATCCTTTAGAGCAATGCAAAAAGGACTAAGACACCTACGTTAAAAGCTATGCCCCTAGTCAACAAATTGATGCTCTCTGACCTTTGTGTGTGTCTTAGACATTTTTAAAAATCTAAGTATGGTTCCTTTCCCTACCAAGACGCACACGTACTCAGTATGGCCTATGATTCAGGGGGGCTCACAGATTCCCGGAAGCTCCAGCACAGTTTGTTAAGAACTCCTTACTTGAAATGTTGACAAAAAAAATAGGATCCATTTAAACCACATTTCTATGGCTGGTACAAAATCATGAAAAAAAAATGTGGTGAGCTACAGTATTTTATGAGTACCTTTTATAAATGACTTCTGGGGCATATCCCTCCTATGTTTTAATTTCTAGAAAAAACTTATCTAAACTGGTGTGTTTGGAATAGAGCTGCCAGATTGAGCAAATACACACACAAGATTCCCAGTTAAATTTGAATTTCAGGCAATCAAGAAATAATTTTTAGTATAAATTTGTCCCACACCATGGTTGAAAACATACTGAGAAAATTTGTTATTTATCTGAAATTCAAATTTAGCCGGATGTCTGTATTTTATCTGGGAATTTTGCTTTGGCCAATATTCCCTTTTTGACTTGGCTGACAGGAAACCTCAGTGAGTGGCTGCAAGAAGCTCCTGCATTGCTCAGCATTAAAAATCTGTGCTTTGGCACAGTGCCTGTAGCACAGTGGTTATGGCACTCACCACATACACTGAGGCTGGCAGGTTCAAACCCAGCCTGGGCCAGCTAAGCAACAATGACAATTGCAACAAAAAAATAGCCAGGCATTGTGGTGGGTGACTGTAGACCCAGCTACTTGGGAGGCTGAGGCAAGAAAATTGCTCAAGCCCAAGAGCTGGAGGTTGCTGTGAGCTGTGACATCATGGCACTCTACCAAGGGTGACATAGTAAGACTTTGTCTCTCCAAAAAAAAAAAAAAAATCCATGCTTTCTTTGGAAAGGTAATCAGTATGTGAAAGAGATACCTGCATTCCCATGTTTATAACAACCTGCATGACCAGCTGATAAATAGATCCGAGAAATGTGGCACATATACATGAAGGAATACTATACAGCCTTACAAAAGAGGGAAATCCTGTCATTTGTTACAACATGGGTGACTCTCCAGGACATTATGCTAAGTGAAATAAGCCAGGCACAGAAAGATAGATACTGTATGTTCTCACTCATATGTGAAATCTGAAACTCATAGACAGAAAGTATCTACCAGAAGTCCTGAAATACTGGGAGATATTTATGAAAGGGTACAATGTTTGGGTTAGACAGGAAGAAAAAATTATTAGTATATAAAGTAGCAGATATGGTTTTGTTTGTTTGTTTTAGTTTTTGACTGGGGCTGGGTTTGAACCCACCACCTCCTGTATATGGGGCCAGCACCCTACTCCTTTAAGCTACAGGCGCTGCTCAGTAGCAGATATGTTAATTAGCATGATTCAATCATTCCACACTGTACACATATATTATAGCATCACTGTATAACTTATAAATACATATGATATAATTTGCCAATAAAAAGTTACAAAAAATACTTCCCATCCTTTAAAAAAACAAAATTAAAAATACACTGACGATAACGCCTCAAGACAAATCACACCAAAGCAATTTCTGTTTTGAATACAATTTCCAAAACGTTGTGGGCTCCTGCCTCCTGCTTTCCTCAGCCCCCAAGTTCAGTCTCCCCCTGTCTCCTAAGGGCAGTCTGAATCGTGAGGCTCTGAGGGGAGAAAAGCCACACTTCCCTCTTCTCAAGCCCTTGAGAATATTATGACTATAAAGTAGTTCATGTTTGTTATAGAATTTCAAACATTCTAGTAATTTACAAAGTAGAAAGGAAAACTTCCAAGATATAACTATTGTGAGATAATCACAGCTTATATCATTTATATACATAAATATCTATATGTTTATATATAAAGTAAACATATAAAATCTACCCTAAGTCTTTAAATTTGGGAAAACTCAAGTTAAACATTTTACTTTCAGAGAAATAGAAAATGAGTACTTGAAATAAACAAAAAACCAAATTTATGTTTCTCATTTGTGGATTGTTATGGATGGATTTCTGTAACCCCAAAAGATTATGTTGAAGCCTTAACCCTCAGTACCCCAGAATGTGATCTTATTGGCAAGTAGGGTCATTGCAGCTATAGTTAGTTAAGGTGATGTCATACTGGTATAGGATGGGCCATCCTATATGACTGGTCCTTATAAAAGGAGGATGCAGAGACACAAAAATAAAGACATGGGGACACCATGTGCTGCTGGAGCAGAGATGAGAGCGACGCATCCACAAGCCAACAAACAAAGGCAGGGACGGCCAGCCATCACCAGACGCTGGAAAGGAAGCATGGGATGGATTTGCACTCAGACCCCTCAGGATGATCCAACCCTATGGACATCCTGATCTTGTACTTCTGCCTCCAGAACTCTGAGACAATCGATTCCTGCTGTTGAAGGCACCCAGTTTGTGGCATGCGGTTATGGCAGCCTGAGGAAACCAATATGCAGCCTGAATTGGACAGTTTGCCTATGGTTCTTAATATCCAAGGGGCTAAGATCTGAGCCCTTCTACTCTGCTGTCATGTAATAAACAACTGTGTTTAAAGACAGCAGTTATCCCAGAGTACCTCGCATCCTTCCCACGGGTCTCTGAGCTTTGTCTGCTCCTCCTTCTCCACATCTATCCTGAGATTTCTTGTTCTAAAAAGAATAGTCCCAACAGATATCGGAGGACCCTGCACTTCCAGTGACTAGTATTCTTCTCCCCTCAGCATCAGGCACCCACCACCTTCTGCTCACCGTTCCACCATTACTGTGCCTTAGTTTCTGCTGTGGTTTCCATTTCTCCTGCCGCTATAAAGCAAAATTCTCCTCTGCTTTTTACCTTACTTTCCCTCGGCATCTTTCTGTTTACAGTGTGTGTTTGCCGTAGAATTTGAGAATATTCAATTCTGTTAGAGAAGACAAGAGAATAAACAGAATGGATGAAACTCAGGAGATGTGTTAAGCAGAGATAGCAAGTAAGCAAGCGACTTGTGGAACGTGGACAGAATTGATGAGCTGTGCTAAGTCAGCCAGTAACCTGCAAAGCATGTTAAAGGAAGGGGACACTCCCGCCCTGCCCTGCTCCCTCACTTTTTCCTCCATCATCTGTGCAATAGCAGCACCAGATTTGGGAACCTGGGTTTGGGTATTGATTCTGGCTAGGAGATCAGTCTCCCTTTCACAGGAGGGAGTTAGACAAGAACTCTGCTGGTATAGGGACACGTGTCTGATGCCCTGTGTAGCCTGGAAAACCAATGGAAGGGTTGGGAATTCTGAAGTGTGCCTGAAAAGAAGGAAAAGAACTTTGCTCTAAAAATTTAGAGATCTGCCTTCCATGTCTGGCTCTTCAAATACTAAAATATATAAATCAAGAAAACGCTGTGATTCAGATACAACACCATTGGAAATAGGTTCCATTTTCTATGCAGACCCCATTCTCAGTCTAGGGTGGGAATAAAGTTCTTGGCTTTGGTGGGGAAAGGGAAGATGTTCAGGGGAGGGGTAGGATAGTTGGGACAGTAGTAGGCAACCCTGTCTCGGGAAGTGGCTTTTCCTTGATCCCAGTGTTCTCCAAGCTCAGCCTCTCTGAATCCACCTGAAGAAATGGGTCTCAGCTACCTGGCAGGTTCCTGGAATCCTTGCTGGTAATCCTGGAAGTCCTACTCGGTCTGGAATCATCGCCATTGAGATTTAAGCTGAAGTGGACAGCAGCTGGTGCTGAATGCTGGGACCGGAGTAGTTTGCATTCTCTAGCTGAAGCCCTGGAAGGCCCAGACAGTCTGGCAGCAAAGATTTATCCCCATCATTTGATTAACTTCAAAATAATGCAAACCTGCGTTTTCCTGGTTGAATGTTTTAGACTTCACTTATGGTGTTAGGGTAAGGTGTTATTGTTACTAGCTGTGCAAAAGTGAGTGAGAAATATCCGAGTTTTAGTATCTCTCATGATGGTGGGCATATTACCCAATCAAGGATCAAATGACATAGTGCAAAGCAGGTTGACAAGTGGGAAGCCCTGCACCACATAAAGCATCACGATTAGGATGGACCACCTCGCGTCCCTTTCCAAGCAGATTGTCCCGGGTTTTAGAGGAGAGTGAAGTTTATTGCTAGATAATAGAAAAGATTTGAGCAGATCAATGAAAGCT